TTGTCTCTTTACCTTGTTGACGGTTTCTTTTGCCAAGCAGGAGCTTTTTAGTTTGATGTCGTCCCATTCATTTATTTTTGCTTTACTTCCTTGCCTTTGAGGTCAGATTTATAAAATCCTCTTTAAGTCCAAGGTTCTTGAGTTTAGTTCCTATGTTTTCTTCTAGGTTCATTTTTTAAAGAGTCACAAAAATGTGTGCTAGGGCAGCGGTCCCCAACCTTTTTGGTCCCAGGGACCGGTGCTCCTGATGATCCGAGGCGGAGCTGGGTTGGTGATGCTGGCGCTGGGGAGCGGCCGCAAATACAGGTGAAGCTTCGCTCGTTCACCCGCCGCTCACCTCCTGCTGTGCGGCCCGGTTCCTGGTAGGACACGGACTAATGCTGGTCTGTGACCCGGGGGCTGGGGACTCCTGTGCTGGGGCGATTGCTGTTTTTCCATATTTAATACATCAAATGCTGGAAACGTCCTGTGGTTCAGCTCCTTAGAGAATTTCCGAAGGCTGACCGGTGACATGTCTGTTACCCCATGCCCCCCCACCACCCCCGCCGCCGCCCAGGCAACGCTCAGCCGCCCTTCTCGACCGGAAGTCGGGTGCACAGGGCCTCTCCGGGGGTGCGGGTCTGGGCGGGAAGCTGGGTCATTGTGCCCGTGAGGAAAGTAGGGCTGCCGAGGGAGGCAGGCTTCTTGCGGGAACGTCGGCTTAGCTGTAGAGCATGCTCTAAAAATATTTCCTTTTTTTTTGGTGGCGGGGAGGAGCGTGGGTCGGTTTTTGTTTTTGCTAATCTGGTTTATTAAAAGTGTCAACAGAATCATTTTTCTGGCCACTGCGTGGTGGCCGCTAGCGAGTCTGGTAGCACAGCGAAGCGTTGTGGGCAGGTCACGTCCTCCCCACAAACCTTCTTCAGAGGTCAGTCTTGTTTATTTTGAATTCATTTTTCTGCAGGAAGTAGTTGTTTAATGAAGCCCTTGGTGTTGAAATAAATCTTTAGTTAATGTTTCTTCCATGACGAAACGTCGTTTAAACTTCTTTTCCGTTAATGCTCCCTAACTTCTTTATATTCATTTATAAAAAAGATGAGCTCCTTTTCATAACACGCATCTTAAAGTAGCCTTAGAGGTCAATGGCAAAATGACGAGTAGCGCTTTGCCAAAAGCAGCATTTCGCAGCAAATTCAGGAAAAGCGGGCCGGCAGGCGACCGAGGCCAGCTCGGCACAGAGCTCGTGCAGACGCCGCCTTTGTCCTGAGCCCCCTGCCCTGGGCTCCCTCCTAGCGGGATGCTGCAGAGGCTGCAGAGGCTGCGGGCGGCCGGGGAGGTGGGCAGCTGGGCCACTGACCCTGGGCCTCCCTGCTTCTCCCGCCAGGTTAGGGTGGGGGCCTCTGAGGGTGGACACCCGTGCGGCAGACGCCCGCACGAAGTCACCCGCCACGGGAGTGCTGGTCGACCTCAGCCATCCTCCCCGGTGCCAGCCCACAGACGGCGGCTTTCAGCAGATGGGTTCCGAGTTTTCTTTTTAAAGTGACTGCACCGTTCCGTCTTAAATGAAATATTTAACACTGTAATAACTCCTTCGTCACAGCTATTAGTTCGTAGCTATGAAATCCAGTTGCATGACAGTAGTGAAATCTGCATTTTTTTTTTTTAAACCTGCTGGCTGGAAGTAAGTTTTGTAACTTCTATCTCAAAGCCTCAAAAAGGATTCTCGTGT